TTTGGACATGCCGAATCCAATAAAATTATTTTCAATTTCGGAAAATGCCCCAAAAGGGCCCAATTTGGGGGGTAGGGGTGCTTTTTGAGAAATTTTCAAATGTAAACATGGGTTGTGTGATACATCAATTTAAAGGCCTAATCACCCCGACTATTTTGGTGCAACAAAAATGTAATTATCTTTAACCGTATTTACAGGGTGGGTCAAAACGTTTTAAAAAAGGACTTTGAAGTTAAGTACCGTATTACCCGAACTACTGAACGGAACAGCGCCAAATTTCTTTCCAAGCTTATTCTTGATCTACTCTTTAAAATAAATTGTAAAAAGGGCATTTTCCATGTTATTTTCTAATTTTTAAAAAATCTCAAATTTTAAGAATGAAAGAAAGCTGAAAACTCAAAATTCTTAAATAGCAAGGTATAACATATTTCATACCACGTGAAAGGTCCTTTTTTAACAAACATTTTACGTATTCAAGTTTTCTTTCTATCTCTTACCGTTTAAAAATTTCAGTAGAAAAACTGGATTTTCTATGGTAAAATTATAACTAGTTTTCTAACAAAACACATTGCGCTTTGCTCAACGATGTATTATGATTAATTAAAAATCGATCAACTACTTTTACTTGTGTCAGTTCATCTTGGACCCTTCACCCTGTTCTTTTCTCATTGGTAACTGAGCCAGTTTCAGAAATTTCTTAACTAAATCATTTACAGCTTTATGACAACGTCTAACCTGGATATTTATTGTTAAACACTTTGCAGTTATCCTGAAACACTTTTGTTCTGCCCAATAAGTAAAAATAAAGTCTATTTTTTTAAGTGTACAACATATTCGATTAGATACTACAGAAAATAGTACTTTTTAGTCAATGGTTCTACAGAAAGCGGCCCACATGTAGGTTGTCCTTATCAGCTATAAGACTTGTTTTTCACAAAGTAAAACGTAATGACTTGACTGTCAATCAGGGTATCAATAATTATGAATTGTTTCCTTCAGTTAATGCACCATTAAATGTGTCTAGAGACGAATTTTGGCTGTTTTATTAGAAAACTAGAACTATTAGAAAAATTTTATTGGATTCGGCATGTCCAAATTAGGGGGAAATGAGAACAAACAAGTGTTAAAAGCCTTAAGCCCCGTGTACACGAGGCTAGTACCAGCAGCTAGTTGATTAGCGCTAGTAAATTCGCTCCGTGTAAACGGTCAACTAGCGTAAACAATTACTAGCGCGCTAGCGTTTTACTCGCTGCTAGTCGTTTTGAACATGTTTGATATTACTAGCGCTAATAAGTGGAGGGGGTGGTCACGTGACCACTAGCGCTAGCAAATTAGCGAGGTACTAGCGGGGTATTTGCACTTCTGCTAGTGCTAATCGCCACTCGCCATACGCCAGTGATAGTGCATCAGTTGTTGTTTGTCTGACAAGTAGAAGTGCTTGTTACTTAAAGTACTTTTTTAGGGTCTTCCAATGCCAGTTCTCTTAAAAGAGTATTGGACGCACCAAGAAGTTCTCGCCTCCTAATCCATCACCTTCGAACCCACACAGATCGTCTCTTTTGATTAAGTTCATGTTCACACAACCCTTGTACACCAATTCTTAAAATTTGTCTCAAAACATTTCGATTTAAGGTAACAGAAGACATTTTGTGCTAAACTGAAATGGCTATTGCAACCAATGAACACTTCACATCTACATGACTATCGCTAATAATAAGCGCTAATAACTAGACACGTGTAGATGTGAATTTTCGCGCTAGTGTGCCCAGCTAGTGCTAGTAGCGAATATTAGCTGCTAGTAAACTAGCTACGTGTACACGGGGCTTTACCTTTGCACACAACAGATATGGAAAATTTTCAAATGAACACCCACACCTCAACCTCCACTGTAGATATAGATGATATCTATAAATGTTTTAATTAAATAAGCGATTTTCGGTACTAGGGCTGGACAAATTTGATTACAACTATAGCTGCCATTTCGACCCTGGACAGCAATGCGTAGCTTTCAGTCTCCAATTAACGTCTGTAAAACTACTAAAACATTGTAGAGCGGTGAGAGATATTTGCCAATCATACTCAATTGACTCGGAACACTGCAGTTTCTGATTTAATTAAGGGTATTATTAAAAAGTACTCAAGCAGTAATCAATTAAACAGGGTAACGAATTGAAGGGTAGATACAACTAGACTATAAGGACGCAAAATACGCAAAGGTACAACTAGTCGTAGGTACAACTAGTCGTAGGTACAACTAGACGTAGGGACCACTAGTCGTAGGGACAACTGGTCGCATCCGTACAAGCTAGGTGATACCATAGATAAAAAGAGTTCTTTTAATCTATGGTGATACTACTTGTCGGTGGGATACATGTCTAGTTGTACCTACGTCTACTTGTACCTACGTCTAAAAATCTGCAGGTACAATTAGTCGGGTGTGCCACCGTCTACTTGTACCTACGTCTAGTTGTACCTACGACTAGTTGTCCCTAGGCCTCGAGGTACAAGTAGACGTAAGTACAACTAGACGGCGGGACAACGAGACGCGGTCCCTTCTCAACTCCCTCCATAGATCTTCAGCAACCTATTCACTTTCCTTGCAATCAAAGGTTCCACTACCGTCTCTGCATTTCGTGGAATAGGGAAAATACCCCAACCACGGCAAACTTGCAGATTAAGTGAGTTTCAATTTCCCTGATTTGATTTTCAATTAAATCAATTTCAATAACATTAGGTTTCATGAGTACCTAGGTTTGCTGCTACATGACATATTAATAAAGTGAATTTTTATTAATATATTAATAGCATAGTTTTTAATAAATAAATTTGCCATGTTTCATTAAAATATAATCATAAACAAGCAAACTACAACAGTTTATGTACTCTCCGTAATAATAACATAGGAGTTTAAAATTTTCAATGTTTAGAATTTTCTCCGTAACCAATAACCTTATAAAAACACTTCAATTCACTAAATTATTTGTTTAATTAAGATCGTCAAAATAGTTTAGAGAAAATTTAGGGAAATTCATGTTTTGAGGGTCAAACATAAGAAAACCCAATTTTTACCCCTTAAATCACCCAAAAACCCCGTTGCCATGGTCCGACCACGCTGGTTCGCAAACTTGTTCGAAGAAACGTAGGTTTACACGGTTTTACCAAATTTCATTACGACCGGATAATTTTTGCTAACGGACACACACTTATAGGCCTCCAGTGTGTTAAAAAAGGTAGGGGCAAAATTTACGAATTGATTCATTGGATCAAAATAAGAAGTAAATAAGGAACAACATTTTTTTACAAAATCGCTTCGTTACCAGATAGCCTATCCACCATTTTATATGTTTTTCATTTACATTTTATCCTTTATAACTTATATTGGAGATATTGGCTATTAATAATGAAATGTATAATTAAATTTACAAGCTCAACAAGGCCAATATAAATAAAATAATTATAATAATTAACAATAATTAATTAATTACATAATAATTAATAATAATAATTAATAATCATAATAATAATTAATAATAATAATAATTAATTAATTTAATAATTAATAATTAATATTAATAATTACAATAATTAGTTGCCTTGTTGAACTTTTAAATTTGATTATACATTTCATTATTTTATCCTTTGATAATTTTGACTGAACTTTTATGAAATTTGGCATGTATGTAAAGGTAGAAGATACAAATTAATTTTTTATGCGAACCAGCATGATCAGAGTATGGGAATGTGGGTTTATGGGGGGTTTTATGGGGGTAATAATTGGTTTTTCCGATTTTGGACCCAAAAAACATAAGAATTAGCAATTTTCTTTCCAAACCTTATTGTGGAGCTTAAAAAAACAAGTAATTTAGTATATTGAAGTGTCATTATGTGCCTAACGGTTACCGAGAAAATTCAAAAAAATTAAATGTAAAATTCCCATGTTAGTCTTATGGAGAATAAGTAAACTGTTGTATTTTGCTTGTTTATGAACATAGGCCTATTTTGATAAAATTTGGAAAATTTATTCATTTAATACTAAACTATTACATAAAAAACACGTTTTTACCCTCCCTGTTACAGCAAACCTAAGTACTAGTTAAACAAATGCTATTTAAATGGGGAATAAAATTTTATTTTTAAGGAGATATTTTAGAGTAAATCCAATCAGGAAAATAGAGATTCGCTTAGTCTGCAGCTGCAGGTATGCTGCGACGAGGGTATTAAAAAAAATTGGTTACAAGGAAAATTCAAAACATTGTAAATTTAAAATTTTTATGTTATTAATACGGAGAGTACATAAACTGTTGTACTTTGCTTGTTTATGATTATATTTTAATGAAACTTGGCAAATTTATTTATTTAAAAATATACTAATAATAAAAACTCACTTTATTTATCTGCTATGTAGCAGCAAACCTAGGTACTCATGAAACCTAATGTTAGTGAAATTGATTTAATTGAAAATCAAATCAGGCAGATGGAAACTCACTTAATCTGCAGGTTTGCTGTGGTGGGGGTATTTTCCCTATTCCATGAAATGCAGAGACGGTAATGCAACCTTTGATTGAATGGAAAGTGAATAGGTTGCTGCAGATCTCTGGAGGGAGTTAAGAACACAAAACACTGAAAGATTTTTTTTATTTTAGCTTTTAATGGCCGCCATTTTGAAACAACTTGATGAAACTCGACCATTGATAACCTGGGCCGAGATAATGTATTGAAGAACTTGTGTGCCAAATTTCATAAAAATCGGTTCAGGCATTCGGCCATTATAGCCAATTCATGGCGACCCAGCATCCTCTTACGGCCGCCATCTTGATGACGTCATTACGGACGACCGAGGTCCTTAAAAATTGGGGTCTGGGCGGTTTTAGGTTCAGAAACTTGTATATAACCAGTTAACCACCTAAAATTGCAGCCTCCCCGCCAGAACTGAAATATTCTGCCACTATATGCAGCTATACAAACCTACTAATAAGGAGGTTTTCAGATGAAATCTGTCATATAATTTACAAATGTTTATGATACAATATACAGTTTTGTACAATCGAGTTAAAAGTCAGTGAAGGTAGGTGTCTTGGCTGGCAAGAAGACGACGGGTCTGTAGTAGTCCATGTTCTTGGTCCAGCCACGAGGGGCAGTGTTGTAGTTGTTGAGAGAGTTGTATTCCTGAGGATGGTAAGTAGCGGATGGTGGTGGCTCCAAGGATGCTGGTGGTAACTTGGCTGCAGAACCTGTCACAGCAATCATAATATTGCATTTTAGAGACAGTACATTTATAGTGATTTTAGTCATGCATCGCGCACCTTTGAAGTACTTATAAAAAGTATCTTGAATAAAATAAATTTACTTTATAAGGTTTTTTACTTTCATAGTTAGCTGATAAAGATCATGTCAATTAGGATCTCATATAGGGAGGGTAGTATGAGACACAGACAACTTCCCCAATACCCCAACTCTTCCCCAACTCTGAATTAGTATATTACATGAAATCCACTTCCTGATCATTACCCTACATGATTTAATCTATGATATATCTAATTTTATCTTTATTGTATCAAAATTTACAGCGTTTTATAAGATATGCAGTCAAATAACGTCTGTGCAAAAGTATACATAGATTTAAATTCTTAACAGTTGCAGTCCCACACCACAAACCACAAAGATTGTGTGTTATGTACACAGACACGGATGTATGAAGTTAGTTGCAGTAAAATCTCACCAACTCGTCAATCTGTGTACTCAGAGTAGTTGAGTTTGGGGGTTTCAAATTATCAGGAACATTGACATTTTTAACGGGTTTTAATTAATTAATCCGTAACGGACTAATAATTTTTACATATAAATTTATTACTTACATGAGTGTTCTTACATATTGAGTAAACAATCTTAAAACAAATGTCAAACATTCAACAATTAAAACTAAATGGTCTGAAAAATTGTATTTTTTGTGCACCCTGTCAGCTGTTGACCGTCGAGTTAGTGAGGTTTTAATTTTACCTGGTTTAATTGGATAGAGCCAAGTTTAAATATGGTACCAGGGTCGCAGCTTGCCCCCCCCCCCCCCCCCAGGGCAGGGGGATTGCCCCAAGCGGCAAATTTTGGGGTGCAGCAAAATTGAGGTTGCTATACATTCTTTTTTAAACTTTATCATACAAAAAGTTTGCTTTTGCATACTGAAGTGCCAATTCAAGGGACTCTTAAGAGAATATTTATATGAACGCACAGGATCCGTAGACAAGACTACAGGCTCATAGTCAAAGTACTTTCTTGTAATTTTACAGGCGTGTGTGGAGTGGAGCACTGCTGCCCCTGCCATCCTACTCCTGTACCCCTCTTGATTGGCACCTACATTTTTGGTAACATGTATAGATTAGATAACACCGCCCGCCGCTTGCCGCTCGTATCGTACCCAAAGCCTGAGATCATCCCCTTCTATAAATTTAATAAACTTATTGAGAAACTGTACGTATGCAGTAGGCTATGATCAATGTAATTTAATAAACACATATTACAGAATTTGTTTTATTTGTTCACTTAAAAATTGCTCTAACAGGTTTAGGGGTTTCATAATAATATACCAATCTTAAAAATTAATACATTTTTAATACCGTAACCTTATATATAAAATTGATGAAACGTTTGGGCTGTGTCTTAGAAAAAATGTGTGTGCCTCGTGTTAAGAATGTCATTGGATCTTAGAACAAATTCCATAGTTGCGTAGTGAAAGGGCGGCAAATAAAGCACTTACTCTCCATTGGAAAATGTATAGCTGCGGCCCTGCATGGGACAAATTAGCACAGAGTAAGACATTATAAACTATTAGACACTCAGCAATGAATTGTTCCTTCTATCAATGACAGTATATGCAATGCATAACAACCCCTTACTGTGCAGTTGTATTCTTGAAAGAATAAAAACACAGAGTGATCAAGTGGATTTTCTCAGATCCTGTGAGAGTCATTGTTTGTACACTCATTTATAGACAACTCATAAACATGCTATAGTGAATAATTTCTTCTCCTAATCTCTAGTAATCATTTCATGTTGTAATCATGCAATCATTGAATAGGGTAATTTGTTAATTAATGCAATTAATTTATTTTATTTTATTTGCTAACACAAGTTATGATTATTGTTATTTGTTGTTTTATATTTTTCAGTTTACCCAAAATACTTAAATAAAGGTTGTTGTAGAATTTTCTTGTGAAATATTATTTGGCACCGCTACATAGGGGCAGCGGTATAGTAACAACCATAATGTCTGAACTGTCCAAAATTGATAAATTGACAAAAGTGTTGGCTGATCTATTGAAGAAATAACAAAAGCCATCTCCACAAGTGAGTACTGTTCATCTAGAACCACTGGAGCCGTCTGATGCCCGGGAACCTGCAAAATGGTCTCAATGACTCAATGGATACGAAGATTTGAAGTTTATCACTCAGCATCAGGATTATTAAAAAAAGAGGTGAACCAACAGGTAAACTGTCTACTAGTAGTCTATTGTTTAGGAAGTGAAACGATTCATTACTCACATCTATTGGGCTTTCTCCTGATGAAAGGAAGACTTATGAATAGGTGAAAAACAAATAAAACGACTATTTACCAGTTCGTAAAAACCTGTTTTATGAACGAACAAGGTTTCTTCAAAGAGAACAAGGAACAAATAAGTCTGTTGACAGCTATAGGGTGATCAACTCAAGGAGGCCACCATTAGGATGTCAGAAACGGTTAGAATTAGAGAAAACTTAAAATGAGGGACATTCCTTTTTTTCCTTTTTAGTGGCAGTTAAAATTATTAATTAAGTTTTTTTTTAGAAATTCAGCCGCCATTTTCCAATTTGGTGGCTTCCTTGAGTTGATCACCCTGTATAAATTATATTTATAAATTGGCTCATAAATGTGAATGGTTTTGTGACAAATGCAACTTCAACACGGATATTTTGTTACTGAAATTGGTTTCAGGTTTGTTGAACAGGACATTATCCACAAAATTGCAGCTCCAGAATTATCTTCCGCTAGATGAATCTAAAACAAGTATTCGGCAATCTGACGCCATTGAAGTACAGCAAGATGTAATTCGACAAGCCAAAGCGGGATCCGAGGATGCAGGATGATCATAATGGCGTTATGAAGGTTGCAAGGAATAATACCCCCGCCGCAGCAAACCTGCCGACTAAGCGAATTTCCATTTGTCTGAATTGATTTTCAGTTAAATATATTTAAATAACATTAGGTTTAACGAGTACCTATGTTTGCTGCTACAAGGAAGCTAATAAAGTGTGTTTTTGAGTAAAATATTGATAGCTTAGTACAAAATAAATAAATTTGCCAAGTTTGATCAAAATATATCATTAAAAAAGCAAACTACAACATTTGACAATATTCTCCAAGAATAACATGGGAATTTTAAATTTACAATTTTTGTAATTTTCTCCGTTATTAATAACCGAACAAAAATACTTTTATATACTATTTTTTTTGTTTTTTTAAGCTCTTTAAAAAGGTCTAAAGAGAAATGGGGAAATTTTGTGTTTTAAGGGTCAAAAGTGAGAAAAACCAATTTTTCCACATAAAACCCACGTAAAGCCCCGTTCCCATGGTCCGATCATGCTGGTTTGTGAACTCATTCAAGTTTATCCCGCTTTACACCTTTAAACCAAATTTCATCAAAATCGGACAAAAATTACTCAAGTTATCGCGTTCACGGACGTATATATATATAAATATATATATTAATAAATGAAATAAATAATTAAACATTTAGTACCCTTTTTTAAGTTATTAATTTATTGAATAAACTTACATGTTTCGGCTCTTAGGCCATGATCACAGTTATGAACAAATAGTAAATAAATAGAAATGTAAATAATAAATAAGTAAATTATCATATGATTTTGGAATTTTTTCTAGTATATAGGTTGGCTTAAGTGTTGTTTTCTTTTGATTTATTATATAAGATTTTTTCATATATTATGTTTTCTTTTTGAATTTGCATTGTGTATGTTTTCAGGATATTTTTTATGGTTTCTATATATGTGGAATTCTTCTTTAATGAATAATTTGGCTTTGTTTGGTTCTAATTCAATTATTGATAAATTATTTTCTATATTTTGATATTTATGATTAGTTTTTATTAGGTGTTCTGCGTAGTTTGATTTCATACTTGTTGAATTTTTAGATTTAAATGCCTGAATATGTTCTTGGAATCTACATTTGAAGCTTCTACTAGTTTGGCCAATATAATACTTGTTACAGTCTGTACAGGAAATTTTGTAAATACCGCTTTTGTTAAATTTTGATGATTCTTCAGTGCCTTAAGGATTTAATGATTTAAGGAAAACCTTATCTAAAACAAATTACAAAGCAACATATAGAACAAAAAACAACGTCTTTAAGATTATAAATTCAAAAGTGTCCAAACATCAACAAATAACTGAAGAATCATCAAAATTTAACAAAAGCGGTATTTACAAAATTTCCTGTACAGACTGTATAAGAGCCGAAACATGTAAGTTTATTCAATAAATTAATAACTTAAAAAAAGGGTACTAAATGTTTAATTATTTATTTCATTTATTAATAATAATAGTAGCCCTCAATAGTGAACGATATATTTATTCAAATATATATTATAAAAATTTTAACGAATGGTGTTTTTGGTCTCTGGGGACATCAAAATGAAAATGTAAATCGGTCCCGGGTCTAGGTCTTACCGTGCCACCTACGGTAATAGCTACTTCCCTATAGGGAATTTCGCTAAAACAAGTGCAATCTTACTAGTGTTCCAGATGTGGCAGAACAGATAGATCACCGGGAAACACTCATCCTACTGTCCAGCAAAGAAGTCACATTGTCACGGCTCAGAGGCATCAACATCAGAGGCAATTCGAGTACCGTATATCAAAAATCTAGTTACTGCTGCTGTGTCGCTTCTCGCATTTGACCCAGAGCTGCCTACAAGGATTTCATGCAGATTCATCAGGCTTTGGGATCGGCGGAGTATTGGTACTGGCACAAAGAAATTTGGTGGCCAGTTTAATTCATTTCTCGAAGTCTCAGTGAAGTTGAACAGAGATACGCTAAAATATAAAAGAAGGATCTAGCATATACATGGGCTTGCAAACATCTTTCTCAATTTTTGTCAAGGTCTTTCAGCCAAACTAAAGTCTTTCTATTTGATTTCTGATCTCCTGCCGCTTGTTCAAATTCTTGGTAATACAATCAACAGTCTTTCTGCCCGTCTTCAAAGGTTTTAAGTGAGGTTGCTACCTTTAAGCTTTGATATCCATCACTGAAAAGGCAAAGTTATCCTGATATTTTATCAAGGAACTCGATGACTCTGAGTGATGAAGAGAACACTGGAGACCTCTTAAATGAAATGTAAATTCACGTTTGTCAAGTAATGTCATCTATTCCCGTCACTAAAAGAGTGTCGAAGCCGATACCTTGTGTGGTGTATTGAAAGATGCGATTCCATCTGGTGATTGGACAAAATTGAAGAGAACTGCATTTTTAAAGAGAGACGTGATTTGGTGCTTCATAACAACTTGATTGTCCATGGTAGTAGATTATTTGTGCCTAGTAAAATTAGAGCAGAGGTTCTGAACAGTAATCAAACTGGACATCAAGGTGTTAACAGGTGTATTTCAAGAGCTCGTGATGCCGTCTGGTGGCCGGAAGTAACTAATGATATCAAACAAAAACTGGAGGGATGCCTTATTTGCATTGAAAATTCACATATTCCTTTGTGAGCCTCTAATTCCTTCACCTTTGCCTGATCAACCGTGACAAGTATTGGGAGCTGATCTGCTTCAGCATAAAAAGAAAACTTATCTAGTTATTCAAGACTATTTTTCCAAGTACATAGAATTGGTTCAATAGAACAAAACAAATGCCTCTTCATTAATCAAGACCTTGAAAAGCATATTTGCTCAACATGGCTTGCCTTCTGTTCTAAGGTCTGATAACAGCCCATTCAATTTGAGAGAGATGAAGGAATTTGCTAAGGAGTGCCACTTTGAACTGATTACTTCTAGCTCGATGTTTCCACAAAGCAATGGACAGGCAGAGCGTGCAGTTCAAATGAGTTCAAATTGCTAAAAACATTCTGAAAAAATCATGATCTTTATAATGGCTTATTAGCATATCGTTCTACTCCACTAAGCTGTAGTTATAGTTCAGCTGAGCTTCTTTTTGGTAGGAACATCAGACGCACTGTTCCTACTTCAACAAAACATTGGAGCCGAAGTGCCCAGGCTTGAAAAGTATTAAGGCAATGGGCACCACAGAAAAAGAAAAACAGAAGCGAAACTACGACAAAAGACACCTTTTAAAGGAGATAAAAGTTTTGAGTTTTGGGAAAAGATGTGGGTGTCTAACCTGAAGTGATACGGACTAGTGGTTCGAAAAAATTCCAACATTAGAGATTATAAGGTCAACATCGATGGGAAATTATATAGAAGGAGTCGTTTTAGTTCCCAACAACAATGGATTCCAAAGACGTGAGCAGACACATGTTATGGTAATAGTTTGTTGTTTTGTATTTTTCAGTTTACCTAATATAGAATTTTCTTGTGAAATATTATTTGGCACCACTACAAATAACAATGTTAGTTGGAAAATTATCAGTTCTTGCTGCAATTGCTTAATCAAGTTACCTAGTTTCAAAAACGTTAAAATTAATAATTTAATGTAATCCTTGTGCTGTAAAAAAATAATGACTCACAACCACTTGTAAATATTAGAATGTAGTTTTTAGTGTAACTCTGAAGATGTCACATCCTGTGGCAAAATGTTCACCAGTAAATAAATTGGACTTCAAAAACACAAGGCAACCAACAAAATAAAAGTTAACCTAATTTCTTTTAATCTGTTTTCCAAGGGAAACTCTAATAATATTACAAATGACTTACAAATCTAATTTATACAACTTGATGGAACCCTAGTCATAGTTACATTTATACGTTAATACAAGTAAATATGTACAAATGTTGAATAATCAATATATTAACTCTGGTTCTATAGAATTACTTCAAACACATGCTAATATACAGACTATCTTTCTCAGGCTGTACACATATTCAATTTAAACACCATTTTTATCCATTCCAGAAGGCAGGAGATTTCCCTTGCACAATACACAATTCTATAACTAACCCTTTAAACACTAAAATAATAGTTACTTTCAAACAAACCCTTTGGCAAGTACAGAATTGCTAAGCCATGCAGTGCGATTGTTCCAAAGAGACGGGGAGAAAGTGGATTTTTAACTTACTCATTGAAGATTTTATCTCTTGGGAGGTCTTCTTTGAAAGAGTAAAGCTTGATTCTTCAAGAGTTTCAGAGTTTGAGACGACAGCATTGGGGAAGGTTCGAGATTCTACCTTGGTGTTGGACACATAGTATCGTTGATCATCTGTAAGGGCAGCGGGGGCGTTGTGTGAGATTGGTTGAAAAGAAGAATGTGTCTGTGCTTGTTGTTGTTGTGACTGTTGTTTTATTACAACTTGCTGTGATTGATATTGAAAGGATTGGGTCTTTTCTTCACCCTGTTGTGTTTGGGAAGTTTCAAAGTGTTGTTGTTTAATAACAAGGGGTGGTGAAGCTTGTAAGGGTTGTGTACTCGGTTTAAAAGATTGATTTGTTTGTGAGTAAGACACAAATTGTGTTTGTCGAGAGTCGTCCTCATTTTCGCTTGTATTTTGCACTCCCTCAAGGTTGGATGGCTGCTCATTGCCATTTTTAGGCCTCATTAATGGTCTACTACTGTTTTCAAATGTATTTATCAACTCTTTTACGGGTACTTTTTCATAAGGCTTTGACGGATCATCCAGCTCCACACTTTTTTGACTCGAGGAGGACTGTTTTCTTGATACTGATGAATATTCTTTGTGGCTGCTAGAACTTGATTCAAGTTTAGCAGTTTCTGTTGTTTCTATTTTCTTACTGGATGAAAATGTTGCTTCAACTTCGACTTGGCTTTCATCTTCTTTAACTTCAGCAATTTCCTCTGAAACCTCAGGATTTTCTTTAAGGTAATTTTTTGACGGTTTTGACAAACATACATTCACTGTTTCAGCTAAAGGTGGCTTAGTGACTTCCTTAACGCCTTCCCTGTTATTTGTATCTCCAGTTTCGCTATCTTTGCGATCATTTTTTCCCTTAGGCACTTCAACATATACTAACTCGTCAGGCTCAATATCTTGTGGTTTTATTTCAACTTCCACTTCCTCCCCTTCCTTAACTGTATATTGAACTCTCGTTTTAAGAGATCCACCTTGAACAAGTTTAGTTTCCTCTGTTGTTTCTAAAGTTTCTTCTCCTATTACAACAGCATCACCTCCAGCAGAAACGCTTACTGATAGATTATTCATTTCAGTGTCCTCAATTGCATTTGTTCCATCAGCCATGAACGTTTCAGAGTCAAAAGTCATCTTTTTGGTGTCCCCAGTCCTTGTTTTAACAGTGCCTGACTTTGGACCAATATCAACTCTTTTTGTTTCAAAAATGTTGATAGACAATTCATCACTCATTTCAGTTATTCTAGGGGGAGGAGTAGGTGGAGGTGGGGGAGGTGGTGGTGTTTTAACCTCTTCAAAAGGAAGTGGGGAATTCACAAGCATTGTACCAAAACCTCTTATTGGGACGTCTGGATTAAATGGTACTAGTTCTTTAACCATTTCTCTTCTCATTACATCGGCACTCTGTGGCAGTGGAGTTAGTGGTCTGTTAGGATCCATGACAGCTTTTATATCAAGAAAACTGACAGGTGTGGGTATAGAACGTTCTTGTTTACCTTGTTCAAGAACTTGTTCAATTTTTCTCTTGGGTGGAGTCTGTTTTATACCCTTTGCTTCCAACCGCTCGTTAACTTGTTTGATTACAGGTTTAATTGGTCTAGAGTCCATAACCTTGGTTACAACTGCCGGGAGAGGATTAGGAGGAGGTTCTAAAACGGGAGTGTTACGTTTAATGTTTGAAGTCTCTGTGGCAAGTAAAGTGTTAGAGGAAGCCTCATATAAGATGCTCACTGAGGTTGGCGTTCTAGGCCTGCCCTCGAAAAGCTTGTCCAAGTCGACAGTGCCTATAGAAAGCAGTCAGTTATAAAGCAGATGAAGCACACACTGGTTAATTTAAAGCAATAGCAAAAAAATACACGAACAAATAAAAGGTGATAGTATACAATACTAATCGTAACTATATTATTAAAGCCTTGAAGAAAACTCGAATACAGATATACTGTCAAATCAATATGTTAATAGAAAAGCGTTTAGCTCGTTATTGATTTTATATTTAATAAAGAAAAAATACAGCATAACAGGCATGGAAATCATTCAGGAAAAATTGATTTCCTAGTAAGGGCAAATAAACGTATTTTGGATTGGGTTTGATCTTTTTTCATTTAAAATTAACAAGGAAAATCCATTAGATAGTTAAATACAGTTAAATAGTTAAATAGTTAAACAGTTAAATAGTTATGACACCTTTAAAGTAGGTAGACAAAAAAGCAACAACTTGCCATTTAAAAACATTAAATAACACAAACCCCAAGGCCAAAATGGATAGCGGTTTAGTAATAGAAAGCTGTAATAGTTCGTATTTGGGAAATAAGAACAGTGATTAATAGTTAGTAAATATTTTACTGACAATTCGTTAAAACTAATAGTCATAGCTTTAATGTACTTAAAATCTTAAATACTTTATTCTGAAATGGCAACCATACAAATGTAGGTGTTTTAAGCCATTTGGTTTGTTAAGGTAAAAAAATAGGTAATGTACAATGAGTTAGCTACGTAAGTGTTAGCACATGCAGAATCTCTGTTAGTTTAAATATTATGTCTGAGTTTGAAATTTATGTAAAGAATATCATTGGCTTTGAGATTTTGTAGGGTAAAAAGTATAGGCTACAGTCTCTTTTTCTGTGCTGCTGAAGTATTTTTTGGTTTAGTGTTTTAATCATAAGGTTGATTGTATTGTGAGCATGTAAATTAATTTAGTATCCTCTAATTTTCCTTTTATAACACATTTAATACAATTCTTATGAGAATTGTTTTTAAGATAAACACAAAATAGAAATTAAAAATAATTCCTGCTGTTCCATCATAGAAGAGACCATATTATTTTTTTAATTTTCTGTAGATATTCTGTTAAATTAATTATCTTCATCTGTATAACCTATCTATGGAGATGCAAAAAAGGTTGTTTTGAATACTATAACTCCCCACGAAAGACACTAGACAGGCTGTCCGAAAAACATTAGTGTTGTTGTTTCAGACCACCTTTGAATAGCTGGCCGTGTATGATTTTATTAAACCTTACACTATACAAAACAAAACAAAAAACTGAATAAAAATAATCCATTTAACAGCAGTGAAGAATTTTATTCTTTTAAAATAGATTTCATACTCTTTTAATTCAATTGTTTTAAGAACATGATTTGAACTTTTCACTCACAATCTTTAAAAAAAATGCCACCAGCGTTTAAACACACAAAATAATTAATGGCATTTGCAGTTCACTAACATTCCAAAGCCTAAATTTGAATTGTTACTAATGTCTTAAACTAATAAGCCAAAAAGCAGATCATTTGCATAGGTTAAGAGATGTAAACTTATTTTCCAAACAATTCTATATGTACAGTTTTATAATTGACTATACACAGAGTAGACTTTCAATAAAAATTTGATACCAAGAAAATAAATTAACTCTAGAACCATCTCACCAGAGGGTACTAGTATATTGGGTTATATATTAACCCTTTCACCTCTCTGGTCGGCCGTGAGCCGACATCGGCCGTTTCGCAACCGTATCATATTACGGCTTAAACAAATTTAAAAAGAAATTGTGGGATTTTTTATATTTTTTATTATTAGTTGACTATAATTTGAAGTTAAATTACTGGTAGGCATAATGATCTGCATAATAAATTAAACCTAGGGCATAGAAGCCTAAAATGATAGTCGAAAGGGTTAATCAAAATTTATGCCACAGCTCCTGTGTATAGCCAATGGTTCTATCATGTCGTTATTATTAAACTTAAAAATACAGCAAACAAAATTGGAAATGTAAGCGATACAATTTGGGAATGTTTTGTATATCTTGAATTATAAGTACAGTAGTGTTCCTTATTTGTTTCTATATTAATACTCACTGAAAGGCTGCAGCTCTGCTTCCGGTGCAGTCCAAGCCTTCGGTGTTGTGGGTTGATATAGGCCAGTGGGCTTAGGCGGCGCAGGCACAGGTGTCACTGGTGCTCCAGTGACTGTTTGAAACACTGTGGTCGGCGTCGGGGCGAACATTGTAGGAGTTGCTGGTGGGGGGAACGAGTGGTGAGAGGGCAAAGAAATTTCCTGAAATGCAGCTTCGACTGACCCTGTCTCTAGGGCAGCTTCCCAAGGTGACTTTACTAGCTTAAGTCTCGGCTGAGCAAATCTCTCCTGTTGAACAAATACAGTCTAAGGACTAGTTTAAACATATTGTCCGTATTCTCCTATACTTCATAAAAATAAAAGTATTTGGCCTATATTCAATTAAACAGGAGTGTTGAAAAATAAAATTATTGCATATAAGTCATTGCACCAGTGAATGGCCAAAAACTATATAAAATTTTAAAATTGAATTAAGCACCCTTTCTTTTCCCCAAATAACCCCTTTATGAGTCTCACGTCCAGATTCTGTCTGCAATAATACCCCCGCCACAAATTCTGTATATATTTAAGAAGAGTATGTAATTTGCAAGAATACTCTTGATTACATGGCTTTGCTGCAAATAAAGGTTACATATCTTTTGTATATTTTATGCATAGGCCCTATTTTATTAATGTCTATAGTTGAATGTACACTTGCACTTACCACAATTTCATTCATTTTCTGCACATTCTCGACGCGTGTCGTACCATTCTTGAGGTATGACTGAGTTGGTAGTTTACCAGAAGGGGTAGGAGGCTGGATAGAAGGTGGCTGATAAGCTTTGTAGCTAGTTCCTTGTTGATTGGTCCCCACGTAGTTGAAGCTATTGTTTTCTGAGAAAAATGAAGTAGTCTTGACGTTATTTTCGTCTACAACCCACTTCTCTGATTTCTTGCGGCGCTTAGCAAAGAGTTCAGCTCCTGAAATGATGAAAATCAGTCACTAAAACATGGTAAAAACTAGTATAACGATTGCAAAATTATCTATATATAAGATTATAATATTATAAGATATAAGATTATTATATATAAGATTAAGGAAATAAACTGATATGATGAATACCATTTTCATTCCAATAAAGATATTGGAAGAAAACATTAATAATTTATGTCCGTTAATAAGCAAGTTGTTGTTTCTTACAAAAGAAAATAGTCCTTAAACGGTGCAATACTATGAATCCTAAAAAGCGGGGACTTACAAGTTTTTCATTTTTTTCCGTAATCCAAGTGCCATTACAAAGGCGTAACTAGATTATGTTCCTCACATGATGATTACCAAACCGACATTTAATTGTAGACTGTGAGGTGGTAATCCGAGCAATTCCAGTGAATTTAAAAACTCAATTGGATAATGAACAATATCATCCTGGTTGGCAACGGAATCAACAGATTTGTATGTCTTTAAGTCACCAGTTATCTTATTTTGAATTTGAATATTCATTTCTATGACAAACATTTTTTGCAGCTAGAACTCGTTCGCTCAACCAAACATAATTTTTGTAGTTTTGAGCCATGTTTGGAACATCTCCTCAATTAGCTTGTTTGTTGATTTTGTAAAATTGGAAAAATTGGCAAGGAATGTAATGTATCCAGACGATGTGTCAACAGGTGTTTCACCATTTCCAATTTCGAGCAATTGTTTGAAAAAAAGTTCTCCAGATTGGTCGTTTTGCAATTGTACGATAGCATATTAATATTTAATTTGAGTGTTTTGACATTTTTCCATATAAAGGACGACTTCAAGCATCGAGTTCGTCAGCTGACGTTGATTATGGAATCACTGGCAATGTTTGTCTGAAATCCTGCCAATATAATCATCGCTCCACCAAACAGGGTTTGGACGTTTCTTAAATCTTGCATCGTACGGTCTAATGCCTCCAAAGATTTTTTGTAGACCATGGTGCATTCGTCCGAAACGATCAATTTGCTTTCCTTTACCACTTCGGCCATTGCAGAATTCCTCAAAAGGTTGCATGTTGGAGTTTCGATAGTTTTCACACTCAAAAGCAACCTAAGTGCTGAATGAGATGTTCGACCGCCTTCCAGCAATGTAGCTGCAATGGCTGATGAAGCAAGCGCCAGTGTGATTCTATTTTGCGATCGAATTGTGGCCAAAATCAATGAGATTAAAAACGTTTTTCCGGTTCCTCCAGGAGCATCTAAGAAAAAAATACACCACTTTCATCGTTTACTACTTTTATTTGGGTATCGTAGACATATTTTTTTGTTGATTTGAAAGGGGGATTTTTCTTTTAACAGTTTCTTTCAGTGCCTCGGAATCGTATTGGGTTTCACGTCTCAACTCTTGATTAAATGCATCATGCATTGGGCGATTGAGTGTTTTCATTCCCAATATTGTACTAATCTTTTGTTGGCAATCATAACGCACATGTCCTCAATTAAAATTAATGCTTAGTTATGAATTTCTTCGTTCATTTCTTCATTAGATGTTCTATGTCGCATCTGATGCCATATATCTTCAGTCATATTATGATCTTTATATTTGTTCTATAAATTAATCGGGTTTGATAGGAAGCATGTAGACAAAGTTATAGAAAACAATGTCCGTATTTGTTTGGCACTTGACGAAATCACTGCATCTTCGAGCATATTGTCCCAATGAGCGTCATTCTCTAGCAATCCCAAACGTTGACAGGCTTCTCTATATGTGACGCACAACATACCATCAACAGTTCGTAGATGTTGGAATGATGTTGGTCCACAAATAATAATACTACACTAATAATACTAACACTAATAATAAACGCAAATAAAAACATTTGTCTTGGCTGGGATGGACTGTAAAGACGTCCTAGTGCATCAGTGGAAAATACTTATGGATAAGGCCAGGGACACACCGCTCCTTTCACACTATACGTTTTCGCTCGTGCGGTTATTAGTCGTATTTGTTGTATCGCATTGGAGCTTATGGCCCCTTTCACATTATACGATTACAAACCGTGTACGATTTTCACCCGCGTAGCGACCGTAGGTGCACACGGTTGGTATCCGACTCCCGCACGAGTAATAGTCGTGTCTACTGCTAGTGGACCATGTGACCATATGGCCCTTTTCACACTACACGGTTGTTAGTCGTGCGGGAGCCCTCCCCGAGTGCAGTTCGCAGCGTTTTTGCTATATAGTTTTTATTTCTTTTTTCAGTTTAATTGTTTGGTTATTGAGTTTAATTACCTGTGCGCACTGTATAGTATTATTCAGTTGTTGTAATTAGTTTCAGTTGTCTTAATATAGTTCAAATGGATGCAATAGACCCTGAAGTTTTAATTTCACTTGTTGAATCAAAAGTTGTTTTATGGGACAAAACATTGGACGTTTACAAAGATAGAATTGCTACAAGAAAAGCCTGGGAAGAAGTGTGCTTCGCATTGAATCCAGATTTTTCAATTCGTCGAACGATTCTTTCGACATACGAAAATAGTTAAAAAAACTTGGCTTCATCGTTCCTCAAATCTTCGAATAATGTATTAAACACACCCACTTCCTCACGTTTTACATTTATGGGATGTACCCAGTGCAGAAGGCCGCGTTTATTTCTTTTCCTGCGTCTGTAAATAATTAGCGCAGCAATAATTTGCTCCCGATCCATACTCCACAAAACTTTCCACTGAAGTATCAATGAACTCTGTACTGGTGGAGTGGGGGGTTTCGATTTATTACTCGTACGATACAAATCGTATAGTGTGAAAGCAACAGACCCACGACCGTCTGCCCGCACGATTAACACTCGTACGAGCGAAAACGTATAGTGTGAAAGGAGCGTTAACTGGCGAAACCGCCGAACGCCGGATCCGCCGAAGGTTGAGGGTCAGAACCACAGAAAACATACTACTATATGTTTTCTGTGGTCTCAGAACACACTTGTTCCGGCGGAAACTATTTTGCTGGAGCCGGCAACAATAAATAGAGTGCAATGAACTCTGAATCAGTTTTGTCTTAGACTAGTACATTTCTAGTAAAGTTTAGTATTAAAAATGGTGCTGTCAAGACCTCAAAAGTTGGCCTTGCTGTGTTCAATCCACCACAGGAGGAAGAGAAAACACCACCGAACTGTTTGGGTGCATCCTATTCTGGAAAACAGACAGCTACATGGAGCTTTTTACACTCGATTTTTACAGTTGATAAATGAAGAAAATAAGTTTTTTAATTATTTTCGAATGTCTGTCCCCTCATTCGACGAGCTACTATCGAAGATTATAGTGCAAATACAAGGAAAAGACACTTAAAAAGACACGAAACGCTGGAAAGGCTGGATTCAGTGCGGCACAAATTTGTCGCCAGCTGTCCCTCGTTTTGTTTTTGTCTTTGTAAATTTCCAATGACCTATCACAAAGTTCTGGTTTCTCGTGAACCAAACTAATAAGTAAATCCGGAGCATTTTACCGCCGGATCGGCAGTTTCGCCGAACCGGAGAAGTGTGCCCTGCCCCATGCCTTCCTGTGTATTTCAACTTGCTCCGGCGCCGCCGGATCCGCCGTCCGGCGGTTTCGCCGTTAAGTGTGTCCCTGGCCTTACTGGAAATGGCTTTCCTTGTTTGCATCGTTGAATTTTCTTCGTCGATTGATTATATTGTACTAGCAACAGTGTCCGTTGTGGTTAAATACAACGGTCTCTAGTAAAATAATGGTTATGAAATCCATACAACACTTTACTCACTAATATTAATGGTACAGTTTAAGCACATAACATTAGAATCACATACTTAACACGATGAACACACTTTAAATACAAATGCAAATTGTTAACAACAACACTTAATCAAAGACAAATTAATTAGATAACAATATAACAAGAAGCTGTTGAATTATTAACACACGTTTCGTATGATTAGATGATGCATACTGGTAAACCAATTATTATTTCCATCTATAAAAATAATTGGTTTTTCTTTTCCGAGTCGGGTTAGCTCTTCTAATTTTGGCCGTAATCTAAAGGTATGGACGTACCGCAGTTTTGCCATCAAGCATCGGCATTCATTTTGACGTATATTTCGAGTTATGCACAAACTGCCTCACTGTACATTTTTTATGGGAGTTGAATTTGTATTTTTTCGAGTTCAATGCTTCGCAGGCGGGCGATGGTTTACAGGAGGGCTCTTCTACCCGCCCGATTTTCATAATATTGGTCTTAAAATAAAGATATGCAAGCACATATTTGTCATCAATTATCATCATTAAACTCGACGAAAGCATTTTTTCACTTCGATTAAAGATGTATTCTAGCAGTTCTAATTACATTATACATTTTGGTCTAAAAACTACCAGCTTTCATTTGAGCTATTGATTATTATGATCGGACTACCTAAAGCACACTGCTGAATCACGAATCAACAATTATTACAATCGTTTTAGTACCTATCTGCAATCAATGATACGTAACTCAATTTTTATTTAAGTAATTTTATATGTCTTGGTCTTAAAATACTTCAAAAGCTTCCACTTGAGATATTGATAGTTTTAATCAGTTAAGTTCAAGATACTCTATCGCTCAATCAGAAAATATAAATTTGATTATATATTGGATATGGAATTTAGTTTGAGATATATTTACTTAATTATAAATGCGTTATTCTATTTGTTTTGACCTAAGAACCTTCATTGAAATAACAGCTTCCATTTCATTAAAGCACACAGCTAAATCACGACCAACACAAATTGTTCAAAAAATGAAGTTATTTATCATCGATTTATAGCCAAACGATCTTGCTTGCAACCTCAACAGTACTTTCATAGTAATTTGCAAATCTTTACAAATTAGGCTTTCCAACGACCCATTATGTAACAAAATCAGTCCGGTAGAAGTCTAGATTTAGTTGTACAAATTTTAACAAAAATATATCTAATTCAGTATTTTCTCACCACTATAAATTAGGAGATCACTTAGATTATTGCCAATATTTTTAAATGGAGGGGAAATCGACCAAAGTGAATGTGATATTCTGAAAGAGAATAACATTTCCTACAAATAACTTCTATGCATTTCTTGAAAATACTCAATAAAGGCAGCCTAAAGTTGGCTACAAATATAAATTTGGAAATAAAAACTTTGGAGTTTTAAATGTATTATATTTTATTTTTATTTTTTTCACCTCAAATATCTAATAAAATCAAACTTTCTCCTAATCCCTCAGGTGCCACGGCTGTTTGAACGCATTGCAGAAAGTCCTTGGGGTTTCCTCAATACTCTTAGTTCAGCATTATTGTATAATCTTTTGCGGTAAAATATTATAAGTGCTTAGTAAAACATCCCAAGTGTATTAAATAATCAATGCTAAATCGTATTCATGGGAATGTCCTTTTCTTTTGTACTGTATTTAGAAATTTGCCACTGTACTTTAGATGATTTGTTATAAGCATATGTTACATATTATTATAGCTCAGTGGTTACAATATTTACATTTTCGTAAAGCTGTCTTGGCTACCTAGCCTTCCCTAAGAGCAATGTTAAAAAAAAATTAAAATTTCATTATAGGTCTTTTAAAGAAAAATGATTTTTTTCCAGAACAGTGGCTAGCATGGACATTGTGTTTAGCCTAAAAATAAGACATTCCTAACAATTCATAGGAAATCGTAGAAGCCGTTTTAGCGAATTTCCCTATAGGGAAGTAGCTATTACCGTAGGTCTCATGGTAAGACTTAGGCCCTGGACCGATTTACTTTTTCATTTTGGTGTCCCCAGAGGCCAAAAACACCATTCGTTCAAATTTTTATATATTATGTATATATATATATGTGTGTCCGTGAACACGAACTTGAGTAATTTTTATCCGATTTTGATGAAATTTGGTTTGAAGGTGTAAGGCGGGATAAACTTGAATGAGTTCGCGATCCAGCATGATCGGACCATGGAAAGAGGGTTTTATGGGGGGTTTTATGGGGTAAAAATTGGTTTTTCTCACTTTTGACCCTCAAAACACAAAATTTCCTAATTTTTCTCTAAACCTTCTTAAAGAGCTTTAAAAATCAAACAATTCAGTATATCAAAGTGTTTTTGTACGGTTATTGGTTAGGCCGACGGAGAAAACTAAAAAATTGTAAATTTAAAATTCCCATGTTATTCTTATGGAGAATATTGTAAAATGTTGTAGTTTGCTTGTTTATGGATATCTTTTGATCAAACTTGGGCAAATATATTCATTTTATACTAAGCAATAATTATTGTACTCAAAACACACACTTTATTAGTTTCCTTGTAGCAGCAAACCTAGGTACTCGTTAAACCTAATGTTATTTAAATAGATCAATTGAAAATCAATTAAGCCAAATGGAAATTCGCTTAGACGGCAGGTTTGCTGCGGCGGGGGTATTTTAAATCATTGTGTGCAAACGTTACTCGTATTATAGTATATATAGATAGATTTAAATAGTATTAGATATTGTGATTAGGTTCCTAGGCTTGTTACTACAAAAAAGGAAAAGTGTTATTATGGTAAAATGTTAAGACTATAGTTTAAAATAAATAAACTTTATCAAGATATATCCATAAACAGGCAAATTGCAACTTTCCCCATAAGACTAAACATTAACGTACAGTATAGGGACTTCATTTTTTCTCCATGAGAATAATATAAGAATTTTTAATGTACAGTTTTTTTTTTTATTTTCTCTGAAACCTTCAACAAATCCTTCAACACCGCTTCAATATAAATAGTTATTGTTTTTAAGCTCAAGATGGTGGTTTCAATCAAAATTGGGCATTTTTATGTTTCAAGGGTAGAAATTTGTAAAAAAACAATGTTTGAATTATTAAACATTTCTTACACCTCGTTCCCATGACCCAAATCTTACTGAAAGTGTCTGACTAAAATTTATTTAATTGTCTAAAAATATTTATTTGAATAAACATGTAAAACATTTAACACTCGGGGAGGGGGGGGGGGTTTCATAAAGACGTATAGGCTAAGTATATTAAATGAAAAAGCCTACCATCTATGTTCAAGTCTTAAGTGATTCAAACTTTAAAGTTAACTACTTAAGTAAGTACGGTCGGTCATTTAATCAGTGTCTTAAAAATTACATTTTAGAGTGTTATAATCTTTGCATAGTGTGAAACATATTTTATTTTATACTAAATTGTATAGTAAGTTAAAGATAAGGAAAATTATACAACATTACTTTATATTACACTGAGTGAAATGTTAAAGTACGGTGATAATGTAGTTTTAAACTTTAACAGACAAATTTTCATTTACAGTGCTGAAATTTATATTTAATCTTACATGTTGTTAAATAGGTACCTTGTTAGCTTTATTATATAAATTGTATATTAGAGCTACCGATCAATATAGCAAGCCAGAAAAAATAAATAATAAAAAAATGAGACATATATTATAAATACTTTTTGTATAAAAGAAAAATTCAAGACAATTATAGCTAAGAGTTTTATAACAATTTAGGCTGTCTAATACTTTGGTGAAAACTTTAATTCATTATGTTTAACTAAAAATCATGTTAAATAAACATGTAGAATTTTAACATACATTTTGTTAAACACTGTTCTAAAGTTGACGTTACAATACTAAAAAATTGTGGTAAACCAACAAAGTTGTACCGAGGAGTTGTATGGAGGTACTTACTGTAGGAAGGGGTTAAGGTCAGTTTCAATACACAGTACAGGAGCACTGATCAGCGATCGATCGGAGTATGACTGAATTGATCTAAGTAACATTGGACTTGACTGATGGCCAAACAGTCACCTTGACGTGTTTGTATCCAACAAATGAGTCAACAGTGTCTTTGCCTAGCACTTTTGGCACCACTTAGGTCATTTGATAATTGCTCGATATATTTATACTAATAAAACAGCAGATATATTTTATACTTTATTGAGAATTTAAAAAGATATTATATCAACATGAAACAAAATACTGCATAATTTACCAACCAACGAACGTATTCTAGCTTTTTACCAATACCCTTTTAGAAAGATTGGGAAAGACCTAACATGGCTATAAGTGTTCTAGAATAAACTATCGACAGACATTCGCGTACCGGTGATCTTATAGAAATAATCGTAGGTACTGTAAAATATATTTAGTTGCCTTTCTTCCCGTTCAATTGAGTTGATTACATTTTTAGTTGTTGTTTGTTGACTGTTGTCATACACACTGTTGCTGTGTATGCTCACAAATTTATTACTACTAGAGGTCGTCCAGTGGTCGAAAACTCGACCAAAAACATGTAACATACACGTATTATTGGATACTGAAGTAGACTTTCCATCTATATGGACCAACTGTCACCATTTTTTACACATGTAGTTGTGTGAGCCATTCACCGAAAGCGTTTCTTTAATTCTATTTTCTACCTTTTTTTGTTGCTGACAAAGTTGATGGGTCATAACAGTTGCTATAGCTAATTCAAACAGTTTGACTTGGTAAAAAACATCGTGTATTCGATAGAAATTTAAGTCACTTAGATCAGCGCAGTCTGTTGGTGACTCACATGAACTACGACGAATTTAATGAAAAAAAAATTGTGACAGCTTTAACATGGGAATGTAATGTAAGCTTCTCTTCTTCAGGCTTCTCTATTTTCACCCCCCCCCCCCCCCCGGCCCCTGTAAATAAAACATGTGATTGAAATTTCTTCCATTTGTTTTGATTTTCTGTTTATATTTCGTTGTTATTTCGTCACCATCATGGCAACCCATAAAGCCCATGTTAAATTTAAAAAAATTCAAATTCATTTTTTGTGCTTATATTTGAGCCTATTTCAATTTTTAAAGGGATTCTGCACTTCTACAGGAAGATATCTTTCTAACGGTAAGCGTAGATTTTCTCTGCGATGCACACGAGCTGAGAAAAAAGGTTTTAAAGAAACATGCTTGCCTATTAATATATAGATAGATTGTGTGAATCTATACTATTTGCAAAATTGATGCAAACATACTTGGATTGGAATCAATGAATTTATGTCAACTTTAACTAAATTAATATATTATGATTTACCTTTGCCTTTGGGTGCATTGAGGTCACGTACAAGGTCAAAACACACTTCCGGACTGAGACAAGGCTCGATGTTGTAGCCTTGCTTCTGGAGACTGTTGAGGTCCTGCACCTGACCCCTGGGGTCCATCACTAGCTTCAGCACCGACTTGGTGGACGAAGTCTCCTGCAAACCGTCATAGTTTACAATCAAACATCCAGCCTCCAGATTACCAAGTTATATTATAAGTATTTTATATACCGGTACCTGTATTTATCCAATTATAGTCCAAGTATAGTGTTTTGTTTTTAAATGTGTGTAAACTATAACGATCTTTAGAAGAAGTGATGTGTCCTTGTGCTGCCTTATCACAGTTCCATTGTGATTTTGTGAATCGAAACTACTTGCCACCGCAACCAATAGGATTACCAAAGATACAGTTATTAAGTATGTGGCTCAGTCGGTAGTGCCACAGACTTCGGGCCAAAGGCCCAATGTCAACCTTTCCTTTAAATAATGTTCAAAATTCATTGGCATACAAACGTTGAATATATAAATTGGAATTTTCAGGACTTAGCAATTTTGAAAGGTATTTTAAAAGTTGTTTTTATATTTTAAATTATGTACAGTATTTACATAGTTTAAAATATAGAAAAAAACACTTTATGAAATGTTGCCAATTACGAGGAGTTAACAAATAACCCTAATGTTATTTTTATTTAATCAACCTTCACCATCAGACTAGAAACAACGGAGGTACATGGAAGATATTTTTGAGAAGTAAATATCAAACCTAAAGTTGTATTTTTTACAATTATTACCTTATTACCAAAGCTGCGTTGTTGACCAGCATAGCTGGATAAACTGCGCCAATGATAGTGATACAATACAAACCTTATATATTTTAGCATTAGTGGAAACATTTAAAGGGGGATCCACTTTATTAATGAATATTAACATTGTTTTGAAAACATTGAAGACATATTTAAGCAATTCAGATTATAGTTAATATATTCCTTTTATCTATTTTTGGGGAGATCACCGGAACTTATTCTTGTCCTTTCCTAATACCCAGTCAGAAACAACCATTTTTCTGATTCCTTGAAAGCCAAATTAATTTAACCATTAGTGTGAATGATTCCTAGGTATTATTGTTACATTGATTTTCCTAAGCAAATTGATTGCGGATTGATCTACATTCTAGTTGTCTCGTGGAATTGATGGAACAGAGCACAATTTTCATAATACAGGAGTTGATTGCCATGAGCAATAAACACACTCTTATTTTATCATGTTGCCAACTAGATCAAAAAATAAAATTGCCAATCAAATTAAGTTTCCAACTTGGAAAACAATTTCATTGAGAGGTCGAAACACAGTTTTGTCCGGTATGAAGCTGTCATATTACAATATAACATATAACTTACCTCAGTGGTGGTTGTAGTATTGTTGAAGGCTGGGAGAGTCCCAAATGGAGAGGAAGGAAACTGTCCCTTTCCCTCTCCTGTAAAATCAGTATATTAATTATATATCATTAGTTAATTACTAATGGTTCTAAAAGTTTCTTAGACTCGTTGTCTAAGTTTTAGTCTCACAATATATGACTGATTTAGGATCTGTTCCAACATGAATCCCGGCACTGTATTTAAGAGCTGCATCTACAGGTAAACAATCTGCAAAATCAAAAGGTATAGGTTCTGTAATAAGCATATTTCAAGACGTTTCAAAGGTTGTATTGTGCAAGAACTTATTCTCTATTAGCTGACAGGTGGTTTTGTTACTCCCGGCGGTTGTTGAAACAAGATGACTTCATCAAAAGAAGAGGCAAGATTATGGTAGACTATGAAGTGGTCAGTTTACCTTCATGGACCCACTTGACTGAGCGTTTCTTGCGGTTGACGTACATGGACTGACCCTTGGACTGTCGGTTGCTGATGTCTGACAGTGAGTGAGAGATGCGACGTGCCAGATCTACTTGCTCCTCTACCGTCGGGTGATGCGGTCCGTAGAAACTAGACGACGCATACATCTTTCCTAACAAACAGCAAAGTAGTATTTGCTTTATAATATTTTCTCATTCTCAAGGTTTTGATTCGCTGATATGAGGACTCTTTATTAAAAAATAATTGCATTTAAGATCTTATTTTATTTTATTATTTGATGTACCACGAATGCAAAGTTAGAATGAAAGAAATTTATTTGCGGGAGTAATTTACACAAACATATAGCCTCCAGAAGAAAACAAATGTACACAAAACAAAAACTAAATAATTATCTATAAATTAAAGAAAACCCCTGGCATATAAATCTTTAATATGTTGTAAAGTTAAGTAAATTCAATGTCAAATCAACAAAATTCAGATTTTGGGTTTATTTTGGTTTCCCAGTATGTGAAACTTTTAAACTGTTACTAAACAATAGTTGATTTATGACACAAAAGTGTAGCAAAGAAGCAGCTTGTTTAAATGGGTTTTCGTATTTTTCTAGTATTCGTGGTTTTCATCATACTGTCCGGAAAACAGCTATTTTTAGTTCTCTTAATAATCTGCAAAATCCTAGTTTTCAGGTGACTACAAATAGGAATCTTTAAACTCCTCGCTAACCTTAAAATTTGTTTATGGCACATTAAATGTTGTTTACTGTTTGAAACACACATTATGAAAACGCTGCTAATCACACAATAGTTTAAGTTATTTTTGTAAACAACAGAAATGTAAACATTGATGACAACTTTTTATACCTTTGAATTATGTGGTATAATTTTTTAAGATTTCTCTTTGAAAAGTATGAGTAGCCTTTTTATCTTTTCTGGACTCTTAACATTTGTTAGTTTGTCCACAAAATAAATTATATCAATGAAATAATGTAATCAGGTTTCAAGTGATATTGTAACTCTCTACTCAGTACTCACTACTCCTGGAGGGGGTGACTTCGCCCGAGTCCGAGGCAGGGGTGAACAACTTCTCCAGGTCGATGGGTCTGTGGGAGGAAAGTCCATCATTCTCGTTCACCCTCACTCCGCTCGCGTCCTGTACACAACATGGGCCCATTAACACCAAATACGAGTAGTGATCATTGTCTACAAATGGTTGATCTATGACATTTTTACAAAGTAAAATCAAATGAAGAGGCGGTAAATAGTATAAGTACCATGGATGGATATAGATATTCCGTTGCCATGTTAAAGTTGTACCAGTTGAAGAAAAAGAATGTACATTATTGTAGAGATGAGCCATTCTGCAATGTACCTACTCTTATTTATAATTTTATTCCTAATACATTTTCTCTACAAATTATTCTTATGTAATAATAATTCACATAATTAGGTTGAAATTCCCCACAACTTTTCTTTACACATTGGTTAGGGTTTACACTGTTTGTCACTATCTTTTATAACAACCCTTGCGGTATCCAAGTACTTAAAGCTTTATCTATGGAGTACATAGGCTTTGAATGTTCTAGCGTTATTTTGTAAATTATTTTATATTTTGTATGTTGTATATGGCACAAATGTAGACAACGGGTTTATTGTTAGTCTTAGAAATATCAGCCCTTATCAACATTTTATTTCTCAACGCTATTTTTGTTATACAGTCTTTTGACTTGTTATTTGATTTTAGGATTTTATGCTTATTCTTCTCCTTTAAATTGTAAAGTTTAAGACATATCCAATGTCGTAGGAGATCACTCCTTTAAGGGTTTTAGGAAACTCCTCAGGGAACTACAATTGCAGAGAGAACAATAGTCACTAATATATCTGAATCTATACTTCAATAAGTCCCTTCTTAACCTGGTACCTTTTTCAAGTACCGTATTGTTTATTTCGAAACAATATTCGTTTAGTTGGCTCAGAATACCACTTATGCAGATGTCACTGTTATTATTGTTTAAAGTTTCACTTGAATATACAGACTGTTCCAAAAGTCCAGGACCGGGTTAATCTTTTCGGAATATTTCAAATAGAGCAACAAAACTTTGCACAAAGTTACTGGACATAAAAACTATTTTATTACATATTCAGTGATCCGCTACTTCCTCAGGAGGAGGACCGCTAGAACTCAGAAGAAATGAATCTTAAATGTAAGCATAGGTTGATATGCCAACTATACCATACGCATATACAGTATGGTAGTGTATGGTATACTTCAGTATCCAACAGTCAATGGTATAATACAAGCCAACAAGCTGTTTTGACGGTTGATTAATAGGCATAAAAGGATGTTTTCGTCATACTGCAGCATGAACAGCCGTTTTAATGCATGTGTTGCAGGTCTAAAGCACGTGCTCGTTGGGTCTAAAGTAGCAGTCATTTTTAGTCTCTAGGGAGTAAAAATCAGCTGTTGTAAACAGTTGTAAATTTCGATTGTGGTAATCGTATTGATTGAAATTATTAATCGATTGGTTTATTAACTAAGGTGTTAGCCTATTGTTGTCAATCGGTCGTCATATCGATAGTATAATATACTGTAACACAATTGTAGTAGACGAAATGATTGAATCATTTACTAAACAGCTGCTTTAGCAGAATTGAAAACAACCTGGAAGTCGTTTTGAGAGGTTATCTTTACTTAAAAGTTATTTAGTTTTCTAGCTTAGTTTGTTAATTAAGGATACAAAATGACGAAAAATATAGTTCACTACACGGGTAAAAAGTGTTTTCTAACCTTCGCTTATTTGGTGTATTGCGAGCGCCGAGGTCATAAATCTGTTAAGGGTCTGCTCAATGAAGCAGAAGTGACGAGGAGTGTTGTATATCGTTGGGGTTAACACAAGCCTCTGAGGTTGGAAGAGCTTGTTTTAGGTTAGGTTTAGTTTGGTTAGGTTAATAGAACATTTTTATGCTATTATTATTAGGTATAAGAACGCTATTAAAACACTAAGCTTAAAAACAGGTTTCAAAAGCTCGCATATATGGACGCAGATGCACCACGACATGGATAATTTGACGAGTATAGGTGTACGATTAATTTATCCGGTTCGGTGTCAAAACTGTCACGACATAGTCAGGTAGCCGCGCGGCGCTCGCCCCATATAACCTCTCATTTTCTGACCTCGGCTTCGCCTCGATCGTAAAACTTGACCTCGGGACGAAAAAGTCACTTTAGGCCCTAGTGATGAAATATACTATTTTTTAAGTATCCACCCACCATCTTGATTTTTAAATAAATGTAGGCCTACTATTACTGAGTTTTCTATTGACTATTACAGAGCCTCTATGAAATATTCTTTAGTTTTTGTGTTGATGGCAATTTCTGTAAGAATGTAGGTAGCCTAGTGACATAAATGAATAAAACAGTAATTTGATTAACGATAATCAATCGGTTACATACAGAAAACCCATAAATTGATATAATTTTCAGCATGATATGAGATGTTTGTATTACCTCGCAGCTGCGGACGACCATGGTTGCCTCGCGACTGTCTGGATCTCCAGAGCCGGACTGGCCGCTCGCCAGACCATAACGCGAATATTTCTGACCCTTGGCCGACGAAAATAAACAATCCCGCCAAGTTAATAAACATTGTTTTGCAAAATCCCATCTTCCAGAGCATCTGTGTGTACAATCTGCCGCGTGACTTACGTCTTCCATCAAGTCAACCTTTTGATAATGGGGAGATTGTTGCAGCGAGAATAATAGTATAATTTATTACTAGTGCCGAAATAAACAAGCCCAATTTTATTAATTTGTATGGTTATATTATTAGTTTGGGGGTAGAGGAGTTTTACCCCCAGAGCAAAACGTCACAGCAAAGGGAGGTAAATTTTGCCCCCAAACTTTGGCGTTTCACATGAAGGTGTAATGTTAATTTACATTAGGTTGAGCGAGTACCTAGGTTTGCAGCTACAAGGAAACTAATAAAATGTGTGTTTTAAAAAAATATTAATAGCTTAGCATAAAATAAATAAATTTGCCAAGTTTGATCAAAATTATTATAAACAAGCAAACTAATATACAACATTTTACAATATTCACCACAAGAATAACATGGGAATTTTAAATTAACAATTCTTTGAATTTTCCCCGTTACCAATAACTGTGCAAAAATACTTTGATATACTAAATTATTTTTTTTTACTCTTTAAAAAGGTCTAATGAGAATTTGGAAAATTTTATGTTTTGCAAGAAAAATATGGGTCAAGGAGGATATTAATTACTTATACAGTATTCAAAACCTCATCAACTTAATGAATCAATCAAACTATCTTATGAAGAAGGTAAGAATATTTTCCACGAAGAAAGCATTGATGAAATGAATCACTACATTTCAGAATGGATTAAACCATTGATAGATAATAAAAAAGAAATACAGAAGAAAAAGATCAATAAACTTATTAAACTTCAAAAAAGTAAATTTTGAAAAATCATCCTTATTCATGACAACTAATTTAGCAATCCAGTACAAAACCTAAGTAACATTCAATTTACACAAGAAGAAACTAATCTATTAGGTAAGTCTTTAAAATGTAACCTTTTTTAGATCGTAAGAACAGTAACATAGAAAATTATCTAATTCATATGGAGGTAGCCATAAGAAAAACAGATACGAAAATCCGAGATCCAATAAGATTTAGGTTCACACACGAGTTAAATAAAAGAATATAACTAACCCAAATACACTAAAAGAGACGAACGAAGACTTGAAATCTATTTCTAATATTTTAAAAGAAGATAATTCAATGATCACAAAAGCGGATAAACGTAATGCTGTTGTAATAGTAAACAGAAATGATTATGAAACAAAAGTGGATACTTTTTTGAAGATAACAAATTTAAAGTCCTAATCAAAGATCCAACCAATAAATATTCAAAAGCAATTAATAGTAAAATAATGAAATGTAAAAGTCCAACCAAACTAGAAAAAAACATGCTAAAATCAACTAACTCAAAAGCCCCAATACTAAAAATAGGTTTTAATGATTGTATTTATTTTACTGATCTCGTTTAATGTTTGTAACATGTAAACAAAAATATCACAACGAAAGATACCTTAACCATTCTGAGAAAAGAACTAATTGAATACAATATAATAAACAAAAAAGAAATTGAAGATATTATTCAGCTTACAAAATTGACAGTGAAACAAAACTATTTCAGCTACAATTCCTCTTTCTATCTAAAAGAAGATGGTGTTCCAATGGGTTCCCCTCTATCTGGAATAATGGCAGATATCTTTATGAAAGAAATGGAAACTACCAAAATAATGAATGATTGTAGCCCACGAAAAGAAAAAATCCAATACTGGTACAGATATGTAGACGATATAATTGGTTTATTCAAAGGAAATGAAAATGAAGCTAATAATCTACTAAAATATATTAATAGCCTATCTCCAAAAATAAAATTTACAGGAGGGATTCAAAAAGAACAAATAGATTTCTAGATATTACAATCTCAAAGAATAGCAACAGACTTACATTTAACATACAGTATTTAGAAAACCTACGACCACAGACATTATTATTCCATACTATTCCAATCATCCTTGGAGTAATAAAATCGTTACTTTCCATTCACTCATCCACAGACTTACTAATATTCCCTTGAATATAAAAAAAACATCGAAAAAGAGAAAAATACCAATCAATACTTAGCAGAGAAAAATGGTTACAGGGCCAAAATGATAGACAATATGATAAAGAGGAAATTGAAAAACAAAATACAAAAGCAAAGAAAATCAACCGAAAATGAAGAGAAAAACAAATATATGTGTATACCTTATTACCAATATATGACTAAAGCAGTAAGAAATACATTTAAAAAAATCAGATATAAGAGTAAGTTACGATATAATTCAGATTTATTTAACACTAGCAGAGTACCCGTCCTTCGTACGGGGTTGGCGTATAATTAAAAAAATGCTTATTTCAATTATACTTGGCTTTGCGTTTGCAATGGGAGAGGGCACGGTTTAAGAAAATTTGGTTCTATTAATTTACAGTATACTATAGTATAGCACACCTACCATAGATACAATGTTCTACCACTGCACCTAAACAATAGGAAAAAGTAAAGTTATCATATATCAC